TTTGGGAGAGAGTGAGAGAGGAGAGAGAGAGAGTTTTTAATATTTATTTTTTTAGTTCTCCGTGGACACAACATCTTTGTTGGTATGTGGTGCTGAGGATCGAACCCGGGCCGCACGCATGCCAGGCGAGCGCGCTACCGCCTGAGCCACATCCCCAGCCCGAGGGCTATACATTTTAATAGTGAATTACAAAATATAGTTTCACAAAAGGTATGACCCCAGAAATGAAGAGATTGTAGAGTCACGTCTGAGCATGTGACATCAGTTCCTCGTGACAGAAACCTGGGTGTCACCTTGAGCACATGCCTGTTTTCCACTCGGACACTGTGACTGTTAACACTGTGCTCCCCGTCCTCACCGCCTCTGCTGCAGCCACAGCAGAGGCTTGTGGACAGACCAGATGAGATTACCATCACTCCCCTGGAAATCCTTGGCTTCCTCCCTTGGCCTGAGGCAAAGTCCACAAAGGTCAACACTTTGCTGGAGGCCCTGCCTGTGGCTGCCCCAGCCCCCTGGGGTGGGGTCTGGACTCCTCATTCTCCCCCTCCCCTACCTAGACTGCCCTTCACCTGCCTGCCCTGGCTCTTCTCTGCTGCATCCTGTGCCCGGAATGTTCTTTCCTTCTCCCTGATTAGCTCCTGGGTACTTTTCTAGTCTCAGCAGAAACCTGGATTTCCTGAAGAAATATCTTCTTAGCACCAAGCCAGGCCCCTGCCCTCAGCACCTGTGTGTGTGTGTGTGTGTTGAGAGAGAGGTGCTGGGAATTGAACCCAATCACCCTGTCACTGAGCCATATCCCCAGCCCCCCCCCCAGCCCCGCTTTTTTTTTAAATAAATTTTGAGACAGGTCTCACGAGGTTGGCGAGGCTGCCTAGAACCTCCTGAGGGTCGGGATGACTCGTAGGTGCCTAGCTGCGCCTTTGTGATGCTGCAGTTATTTGACATTTGTATACAGTAAGCACCCTGAAAACAGGTGCCATGTCTGTTTTGTTCCCTGAATCTGCCCCACAGAGCACGATGCCTGGCATATAAGTGTTTACGGAATATTTTCTATACTGGGAAATGGAGGGATCTGTAAATGTTGAATATTGCTTGAAGTGTTGTTCGGTCTTTTCAAGGTTGCCAGATGTATTTATTTAACCATTTGCGTTAGAGCAGTTGTAAACTAAGGACTGCGGCTGTATTCTGTACTTATTAAGTTTCCCTGCTCCTTCTATGTCCTGCCTATGGCTGCTTTTGCAAGGGACCGCAGTACCTAAGACAGGTCTCTCTGACCCTCGATGGGAACGACTGTCAGACCCCTGGATGAGAACATTTTAAACAATGATTTTATTTCCTGTCTCCCTCTTAATTTCCAGTGGGTACCTCTTGGCTTTCTTGACACCTCGCTGCCCATGGTCACTGAGTGGCTGGCTGGTCTGACCCTGTGGGCCAGTGGGGTTCATGCAGAGCTGTTTCTTGTTTTCACATTTGCTATTTGTTCATGACAAGAGTTTATTTCTTGTTTCTACGCCTCTGCTCATAGTGGCCCTTACTTCCTCTGGCTCAGGTGACCAGGCTTTGCAGAACCAATGSGAAGGAGTAAGAGCTGAGGGGGGCCCTGTCGTTCTCCCCTGTAGTCAGGCTCAGGGACTGGCCTGGTGAGCATGGCCACGTCCACTGGCTGCTCAGGCCTTCCAGGTGGGTCCTGGTTCCTTGTAGGTGGCAGGGATTGCTGGCTCGGTGACGCTGGCTGGTAGCTCTGCTCTATGGGCCTGTGTCCTGCCTGTGGTGGGATCTGGCTGTATACAGTGGAGGCTCGCTGTGCATCAGGTGCGCAGACTCCAGCCTCGCCCCGAGTTGAGTGCTCCCATGTGCACACTCGTAGAAAGTCGCTGGGTTCCTGGTGGACATTCACCTTTACACTTTACACTAACACCCTGCACCCTGGCTTTCTGCCAAAATATTTCTTTCCCAGTGGCTGGAAACTGATTAGCTAGATGGGAGAACAAAGGTGCCTTTGTGCTGGAGCATATTGCTTTTGAGAATTTAGCAGAGAGCATTCAAATGGAGTCTGGATGCGATGCCAAATTATGCAGATTTGGAGGTTTTTTGGTCAGGTTTCCCATGAGCGGGTTTGTGGGCAGCTTGGCTTTGTTCTCAGTTTGTACTCTGGAATTTCCCTTATAAATGTTGTGTAGGCTTTCATTATTGGTTGTTTTAAAATTTAAAGTGTGTGTGTGTGTGTTTGAGAAAACACACTCAGTAGAAGATAATGTTAATAGTCTTGGCCAAAATTTGCAGAGAAGCAAGCCTCGTGTATCAGCGGATTTGTTTCCAACACCAAATTGTCAGTAACTTTCGGTTTCTGTAAGAACACAGTGTAAATACCTTAGAACCAAGAGAGTCCCGGTGGGGGGGTGCCACAAGTGGGGGCCCTAGTCTTACACATTCACCTCAAAGTAGGTTTGGAAGAGTTCATGTGGCATTTCTTTCTGTGTAATAGAGAGTGAGAGTGAGAACGGGGACAGAGCAGGACACTGGGTGGGGAAGGCAGTGCCTGTTGCTTCCTGGAGACCAGAATTTCAGACTAGTTCTTTCTGGGGATCAGGGGACCTTCTGCCTTCCTCCCCCGCCGTTCTGGGGATTGAACCCAGGGTGCTTTCTTCCTGAGCCACGTCCCTATTTTATTTTATTTCTATTTATGAGGCAGGGTCTCGTGAGTTGAACTTGGGATCCTTCTGCCACAGCCTCTGAGTGCACCACGCGCTGCACCAAGACAGTCTCCTCATTCCAGTTAGTTTGAAGATAGGGCTTCAACTTTTGTTCTCGTTGTTAACTTTGTTTCTTTTTTCGCTCCTGACCCTCTGATGTTTTGCTGGTAGACCGGCTCCCTTCAGTGGCAGAGTTGGACAATGTCTGGGTCAGGGGCCCTGCTTTCCCTTAGTTTAGGTCAGAGATTACAAATTGATGACTTTAGGAATAACCTCAAACCCCAGGTCTGTAATTCGGTGCAAACAGGCATTTTCTTATTCGGGTGTTAATGTTTTAAAACGGGGAGATTTCGCCTGGAAACAAGGCTTTGTGGCGTGCAGAAAGCCTGCCCGGGGCTGTGGCGCAGCTGTGCCATCTCATGTGGGCAGAAGCTCTCGGGTTTGCCAGAGCCTTGGCTCCTTGTCTGTCACTGTGACACGGGTGCCAGCGCACTTGTCTTTCACACACTGAAGAAAAGTTAAAAATCTTACCCTCAGCCTCATTTTTTTTTTCTTTTTCAACCAGTAGTTGAACCCAGGGCACTGAACACTGAGCCTCATCCCCAGTCCCCCACGGTTAAAAAATTTTTTTAAAAATTTTGAAACAGTGTCTTGCTAAGTTGCTGAGGCTGGCTTTGAACTTGCCAACTCCTGAGCTGCTGGGATTATAGGCTGTGCCACCGCTCCTGTCTATACCTCTGCCTCTTTGGGAAAATGAAAGATTAGGAACCCGTAGGTGGTGCCAGCACTCGGAGGCTGAGGCAGGAGGAATGCAAGTTCAAAGCCAGCCTTAGCAAAAAGCGAGGTGCTAAGCGCTCAGTGAGACCCTGTCTCTACATAAAATACAAAATAGGGCTGCGGATGCGGCTCAGTGGGCGGGTGCCCCAAGTTCAATCCCTGGTACCCCCCCCCCAAAAGAAAAGAAAAAAAAAAACTATACAAAACCAAGGGAGAGAGTCAATTGCAGATCAAAATCCCAAAGTATTTGCTACATGCCAGCTTCGTTTAATCACACTATCTGCCCTGTTTCTAACCACTTGATTTGTTCTTGTTTCCATATCTGATTGGTGCACTGTAGTTGTATGTGGTGGGATTTGTCGTCACAGGTTTGCACATGCACACGTAAGACGGTCCCTTAGGCCTGTGTGCCCCCGTGTCTGCAGGATCCCTCCCCTCTTCCTTCCATCCCTGTCCTCTGTTGATCTCCCTTCAGTTTCCCCTGGCCCTCCCCTGCGCCACCTGCCCCTCCCCTTCGCCACCTTTCTTCTCCTCTTTCCTCTGTAGCTTCCACCTGGGAGGGAAAGCATCYGACCCTTGACCTTCTGAGTTTGGGTCATTTTGCTTAACATAATGTTCCCAAGTTCCATCCATTTTCCTGCACATGCCACAAGTTCATTTTCTTGGTGGCTGAATCGAACTCCAGGGCGTAAGTGCCACGCTTTCTTTATCCATTCATCCACTGAGGACCTGGGCTGACCCTGGTGGGGCTGTTGCGAGTTGTGCGGCTGTGAGCGTGGGCGTGTGTGTCCCCAAAGTGAGAGGACTGCAGTTCTTCAGGTTCAAGACTGAGGAGTGGAGCGGCAGAGCCCTGTGGTGGCTCCGGGCCTGGTCTCTAGGCGCCTCTGGGCTCCTCCCCATGGTGGCTGTGCTAGTTCACAGTCCCCCCAACAGTGTGCGAGGGCTCCTCTTCCCCCAGAGCCTCTCCAGCGTTGATTATTGGATTTTGCTTGGAATTGATTTACTTGGGAATCAAGGATCCCCCTTGTGTCCTTGAGTGGAATATAAGCATGCAAATTGGAAGTCTTTTAAACAAATGAAGGAAAAACATATTTAAAGTAGCTGGTTTAAAATGATGTGTAAAGAATGCATGTGTTGCCCGGCAGAGCAGCCTCTGCCTGTGTTTCCGGAGGCAGGAAGATTGCCTGAGACCACCTGGATGACACAGTGAGACCCATCTTAAAAACAAACAAACAAACAAACAAAAAGACCTATTAGAACTTTGTTTGCCACAGTCACTGCTGCGTGTCAAGCTGAGCTAGACCTCTGGTGACTTTGTGATGTGAGAGCGAGAGGCCCCCTAGTGGCTGTTCTGGGGTGTGGCACATCGCACTGTGGTGTCCTGACTAGAATGATGTGATGTTTAGTTTATGTACCAAGTACATTCGAGTTGTCCTCCCTGTACAGCTTGAACTGCGGCAAAGGGTCATTTCTACAGTGTTTCTGTAACTATTTTATTTTATTTTTAAACAGAAGAAGCAGACTACAGTGCCTTCGGTACAGACACGCTGATAAAGAAGAAGAACGTTTTGACCAATGTGTTACGTCCTGACAACCACAGAAAAAAGCCACACATAGTTATCAGTATGCCCCAGGACTTCAGGCCCGTGTCTTCCATCATAGACGTGGACATTCTCCCGGAGACCCACCGTCGGGTTCGTCTGTACAAGTACGGCACCGAGAAGCCCCTGGGGTTCTACATCCGGGACGGTTSAAGTGTCCGGGTCACGCCACACGGGCTGGAGAAGGTCCCTGGGATCTTCATCTCCAGGCTCGTCCCAGGGGGTCTGGCTCAAAGCACAGGACTGCTGGCTGTCAATGACGAGGTCTTAGAGGTCAATGGCATCGAGGTCTCAGGGAAGAGTCTTGACCAAGTGACTGACATGATGATCGCCAACAGCCGCAACCTCATCATCACGGTGAGACCAGCGAACCAGAGGAACAACGTGGTCAGGAACAGTCGGACTTCCGGCAGCTCCGGCCAGTCCACCGATAACAGCCTTGTGGGCTACCCGCAGCAGATGGAACCAAGCTTGGAGCCAGAGGACGAGGACAGCGATGAAGACGACATCGTCATTGAGGACAACGGCGTGCCGCAGCAGATTCCCAAGGCCGTCCCCGAGGCCGAGAGCCTGGAGTCCTTAACACAGATAGAACTCAGTTTTGAGTCCGGGCAGAACGGTTTTATTCCTTCCCACGATGTGAGCTTAGCACCCGTAGCAAGTGGCACAAACACGGAATTCGACACCCGAGCTCCAGACCAGAAACTCCTGGAGGAAGATGGGACCATCATAACCTTGTGAAGCCGTAGCTGGGGTTTTCTGGGGACTGGGGCCTGGCTAGGACTGGAGCATGTACCTGGGAAGCAGGCGAGGGGTGGGCATGGAAGAGGGCTGCGGCCTTGACCTGGGGTTAAAGTGGGCAGTGCTGCTGAGATGAACCCGGGACTCCAAGCTGGATCTAAGTCTAAAACAAGGGGCCTTGGCTTGTGAAATCACGTGCTGTTGTGTTTTTCTCTGGAGAACTGGATGTTGGCGCCCATTCCCAGACCTGTGTGAGGCTCTGGGTCATTTCTGTTTGAAGTGGCTGCATGTTGAACCTGCTGTGAAAGCCCCGTCGGTGTTCCCTGAATGTTCTTAAATTTGATGTGAGGAGGGCTGGTGGCTTCCTTTGTACACTGGGGACCTCAGTCCTTCTGTTCCCGATATTGTGTTTTGATTTTTTCCAGTGTTGTTCCTCTGTTGTTGATTTTAACCACTTGTTTTCTCAAATGTATCTTTACCCCGATTCCTGAGAAGCCGATCGCCATTTCCAGGAGTTGCTTCCCAGATTGCACAGCAAGGAGCTCCGTCCCCAGTCCTGAGGCTGTGACGGCTGCTCACCTAGGAGCTGTCCCCCAGCCGGGCCTCTTTCCAGGCCCCACTGGAGTCGCTCCCTCCGTCGTGGGTGTGCTTTGGTGGCTTTCCACGTCCTCCCTGGTACGGTCACCCTGGATTAAAAAGGTCTTCACACACAGGACAAACGTGCACTTTCATACAGAAAACAGTGGGGTTTTCCTTGGGGGTTTCTAGGAAACTGTCTTCACTTTATGAGATGCTCGTCCGCAGCAGGTCGGGCTCCTGGCTATTTATTACTTCCCACCCCTCCCCTAGGACAGGGTACAAGCTGCTGCTTTCAGCCCTGGCTGGCCCCCTGGGTCTCATGCAGACGCGAGCCCCAGGCTCGAGGGGTTATTTATTGATCAACCTTGGTAGGGCTAGTGTGGACACCCTGTGACAACGGTGTGCTGTTAAAACCATGAAGATCCCCATGACTCCGTGTTGAAGGACGCTCTCAATTCATGGTGGAGCATATGAAGAAGCCAAGTCCTGAGGAAGTGCAGCCACTGGACTCAGGACAGCACTGTGCTGTTCACATCACCACTAGGCATGTCACCGGAAACCGCCAGCTGCCCCCTTGGCAGCGGCATTCCTGCACTCTTGAGCGGCAAGAGGTCGGTAGACGCAGAAGGTTCCATTCCTGTTTGACAGAAGGTGGTTGGTGCGAGGGTCCAACATTAAGTAAGAACACTTTACATGCTACCTCTCCCCCCTCTCCCTCTGCCTCCCTCCCCCTCCCCCTGACCCCTCCTCCTCCCTCCCTCCTCCTCCCCCTGCCCCCTCCCTCCCCCTCCCCCCTCCCCCTGCCCCCCTCCCTCTCCCTCTGCCTACCTCTCCCTCCATCCCCCTCCCCCTCCCCCTGCCCCCCCCTCCCTCCATCCCCCCTCCCCCTGCCCCCTCCCTCTCCCTCTGCCTCCCTCCGTCTCTCCACCCCTTTTTTTTTTTTAACAAAGTTTTAACATTAGAACTTTTCTCTTGAGGAAAAAATACTTCAGGGCTTGACTTTTGTACAAATTTTAACTGTAAAATACAGATTTATTATGTATCTGTTCATGAAAATGGAGATCAAGGCTGCTAATGCTTTTTATTTTAACTATCCCATTAAGGAGATACGTCAATGGTGTTTTCAACTCAATCTCTGTCTTTTAAATTAGTGGCCGAATAATTGATTACTAGACAGATTGTAAAACCAATAGATTGGTTATACAATAAAATATCAACTCTTGGTAGGTAGTCTGAATCGATTATTTCAAGTGCACCTTATTAACACAAATATCAGTGGGTCCAGTGTGAGATCTTACAGTACTAAATGTCAAGCCTAACTGTGAATTCTGTTGTGTATCTTAAGTAAGTTTATGATAATGTTCTCAAGCTGTCAACAAAATATATGTACTTTTGTGAACTATGAATTTTCTAATTAAATTTTACATGATATAACATGATTTTTACATGAATAATACTTTGTTTAAACTATCAAATGTCAGTATTTTACTACAATTTTATTATAAAATGTACATTATCACTAAATGAACTTTGATTTTAAAAAATCAAATTAGCTTTAGTTGTATATTATTTTTTACAAATAAAGATAGACTTGCAAAAAGGCTACTTTCTTGTTTGAAATTATATGAGATCATCCAACAGGTACATGCTGAACACCCACCCTAGGAGCTGGTGGAGGGGACACTGCGTCATGGCAAGGTCCCTGCTTCCCTACGGTGACCACTGAGAGGTGAACATCTGGCTTGTCTGCACTTACTGCACCTGAGTGTGGGTACCTGTGTGGGCTGACGGAAGGGGACATTTAAAATAGCTAATTCTGATAGCATAAAAGACGACACACGGTGTCCCCAGCATTGGCACCAGCATTCTTCCTGATTGTTGGAGCCAGGAGTCCAGGAGAGTGCGTCTCCTGACATTAGGATTCACCACCTCTGTAATCTGCCCCTATGCATCGAATTGAGTTCATACTGGGAAATCGAAAAGGCCTGAGGTAAAACAACATTCCTAAGCCAGTTTTTGTTTTGTTTTCTCAGTACGGAAGCTCAAACCTAGAGCCTCACGTGTGCTAGACCAGTGCTCTACCATTCACCTGCACTTCAGCACTGTGTGTGTGTGTGTGAGAACCCAGGGCCTTGTGCATGCGAGGAAAGCCCTCTACCAACTGAGCTGTATCCCCAGCCCATCCAGCACCTTTTAAAGTTTTTATTCTAAGACAAGTTCTCAAAATAAGTTGCAGGTTCTGGCCTTGAAGTTGAGATCCTCCTGCTTCAGCCTCCCGAGTAAGTGGGATTAGGAGTGTGCACCCCACGTTTCTTCAACTGTTTCTGAGTCCGTCACCCTGCAGTTGGCCGATGGACCTTCCCGCCAGCCCTTTCCTAACCAGGTCAGAGGGTAACCCTGATCCCCCAACCTGGGTAAGTTGGTTGTGTGCATAGAACCCTCACCTCATTGAGGGGGGCCAGTCAACACCAGTTACTTGATTCTGGGTTCCGGGGTCCACTAAACAATGGTGAGGGGCTGAAACATTCCTTCGACCCCCAAAATGGAGCTGGTGCTTGGCTGGTGGCCCCGCCTCAGCTGGCTGAGAGGCTCACGTTCAGGGTGAAGCCGAGAGTGTCTCGGTGACGGAGAGTCGTCTTCTCAGGAAGCCGGGGACATCCTTGCTCTCAGGACAGTCCTTGCTGTTGTCCTGGGACAGCATGTCACCAAGTGATGGAGGCTGTCTCCTGCGAGGCAAAACCCAGTTGTGCCTCCTGGAGCTCCACCACTGAGTGGCTGTCAGAAGACATTTTGGAAACCAAGTTCAGTCTTTGGTGTCGGGAGGGAAGGTGCAGTCTGGTGCCTCCCGGGGGCGATGTGCAGGGACTGTGAGACTTAGCACTTCAGAGTCCACGGTCTACCAGCTTCCCCCCGAAACTAAGTCTGATGTGGGCAGACTCCCACCCACAGGATGGAACCCAGGGGTTCACCTCCAGCCTTTTTTAGTTCATTTTGAGACAGGGTCTGGCTAAGCTATTTAGGGCCTCACTAAATTGCTGAGGCTGGCCTTGAATTTGGAATCCTCCTGTCTCAGCCTCCCCAAGATTCTGGGATTACAGGTGTGCACCAATGCACCTGACATGGGTAAAGAATATTTTAAAAGCCCATGTGTTGGCAGATATGGTGGCACACGCCTGTACTGTCAGCGACTCAGGAGGCTGAGGCAGGAGGATCACAAGTTCCAGGCTAGTCTCAGCAATTTAGCGAAGCCCTAAACAGCCAGACCCCGTCTCTAAATAAAAAGTAAAAAGGGCTGGGGATGCGGCTCAATGGTTAAATCCCTGGTACCAAAACAAAACCAGAAAAAGCTATGATTTTTTATTTTTGTCTATCGTTTATACTGTCCTATAAAATGGAATTAAAGCTGTTTAAGAATGATTATAATCTAAACTGGGACACTTGAGAATGGATGTGTCTGCTATTAATTATGCAGGACCACAGCCCACAGAGATGACCCGGTAGATGGCAACCATAGCATCACGGCTTCCAGATGTTTTAAAAACTGAGGACGTAGTAGGGATGCATTAACGCACACAGCTGTGCGTGGTGCAGACACTCGGGACCACACCTGACTACATACGACTGAAGTTTCACGAAACAAAATGGTGATGCCGACAGTCCCTCTGATTCCTTTCCTTCCTTCCTTCTTGGTGCTGGGAGTGGGACCCAGGGCCTCTCTCAGGCGAGGCAGCTCCTGTTTCCGTCTTTAGAGTGTGTCTTGTGACATCCTCAAACAGTGTCACACGCGCTGTCTGAGGAACACTGGGAGCACGTCAATGTCTGCTGTGGGAAAGTGCCGTTTCGAGAAGAGCGCTGCATCATGTACTCGCTCACTTGCTTTTATTCTTTATTTTGTAAATTTTGGAACAATCTCAAACCTAGAACAGAGCTGCGTGGAAGGCTCGGGTCACCCTTCACCCAGCCGACCCCCCGCGGGCTCAGCCCTCCCGGCCTTTGCTGTTTTCTTTTTCCTGAGCCATTTGAGGATGAGTTGCGGAGAGCAAGCCCCTCGCCCACTTTGGACCTGGGCATCTGTTCTGAAGACCAAGGACGTTCTCTTATGCATTCCCTTATACAACCATATTTCAGTTACGAATTCAAAATGTTGAACATTGTTACAATATTATCAGGAAACACACACACACACACACACACACACACACACACACTCTAGAATCTCACCCAGCGGGGTGTGGTGGTGCAGACCTGTGATCTCAGCTACTCGGGAGGCTGAGGCAGGAGGATGGCAAGTTTGAGGTCAGCCTCCGCAACTTACAAGAGCCCAACTTACAAGAGTCTCAAAATTTTAAAGAATTAAAATGATGAGGGATGTAGCTCAGGGGTGAAGTACACGGGTTCAATCCCCACCAAATCTCACCATTGTCCCAATGATGTGCTTGTCAGAACCTCCCACCCCCCATCTAGGACTCCAGACTCAGGCGCTGCATTTGGTGACCTGGTCTCTCTCGGTTCCGTTCATCTGGAACGGTTCCTCGGCTTTGTGTTGTGTTTCATAATATCGACATTTTTGAAGAGTAAGTACAAACTGTTTTGTAGAGGGCTCCTCCGCCGGGGTTCACTGGTTTTCTCATAATTATGTTTGAGCAAA